CCTGTTCCTGAATGCCATAGAACATCCATTGTGTGTTGTGCCTTGTTGTATTGCCTTCTTTGGTGTAATGCTCTTTCCTGTGAGACCCATACATGTTGTGAGAACAGTCAGAGTTCTTTTTATGATAGTATTCCATTATGCTTTTGTAAGCCATTCTGGTCTTCTGTTGGTTGTTACTAGTATTGCAGATTTTGACTAAATGAGTAATGCTACTTTGGACATTCTTTTATTGTCTTTGCACTCATTTCTGATGGATATATATACCTAGAAGAAGAATCTTCAGGTTATATGGTAGGCATATGTTTAGCTTTTTTATTTTGTTTTGTTTTGTTGAGACAAGGTCTCGCTGTATAGCCCAAGCTGGCCTTGAACTCGCAGTGATCCTCCTGCTGCTGGGATCACAGGCGTGTGCCTCAGTGCCCAGCTAGTCTGTTTAGCTTTTACTGCTATTATGAAGAAGTTTTCCAAAGTGGTTGTATCTGTTTACTTCTTTTAGCAGGTGTGATAGTTCCAGTTGCTCCATAACCTTACTGAGACTTGATATTGTTAGTGTATTATATGTTTATTCAGGCAGTGACTGAAAACTTAACAAACGTTATTATATATTTAGATGTATTTGATATATTAAATGAGGTCTGTCATAAACTATAAGAAATTTGTACAAATCACTAAAGGGATTTATAGCATTTATAAATAAATCTTGCTATGTTATCTTTCTGTTACTATAAGAAATACCTGAGATAATGAACTTGGAAAAAGAAGAGGCTTATTTTGGCTCAGGGTTTCAGAAGTTTAAGTCTGACCAGTTCGCTTCATGGCTTTGGCCTGGGTGGCACTGTGTCTGGCACCCGTGGCAGAGTGGGCTGCTCACCTAGCTGGGAAGCAGGAGAGAGAAGGGGAGGGAGAGGCTGTGGTCCCACTGCCTGCTGCAAGGGTGTGCCACTCCCCAAGGACCTGAAGACCGCCTCCCACACACCTCCCACCAGCACCGGAGACATCCAGATCCAAACAGCGCGTTCACAGGATGTTAATTTCTGTGGAAGGAAACTAATCTCTACCTAAGATATATTGATTTGCAAATATGTTTGTTGCTGTTGTGTTGCATTAGTTATCTATTGCTGCCTTAAAAATTATCTTGATGTTTAGCAGCTTAAAACAGTAAATATTGCTGACTTGTAATTTCTGAGTCACTTGCCATGGCCCCTGGGGCTGAAGGGCACCTGAAGTGGGAGATTAAGAAAAGGTAAAGAAAGAAAGATACAAAAGAAAAAAGAGAAACAAAGGTGGGGTCAGTTGGGTTCTAACTCCTGGGAGAAAAAAGACAAGATTTATAGTGTAGAGATAAGGCAGATGCAGGGGGAGGTAGAGAGGGCTGGTCTGTGACTGGAGCCAGGAGCGCAGCTAAGGTCTGCAGGACTTCATGCTTGGTTGTCTGGTGAAGGGGCTGGGAGGAAGACTCCTCTTCTCCGCCACACCCTCGTCACCTGTTGTCCTGTGGGCCCTGCCTGGGTGGAGGGAGAAGGCCAGTTAGGCTTGGCTGGAGGGAGCTTCACTGTGTGCTCCCTGTGGTCACTGACGTGGTGGTAGCTTAGTTGGCTGAGAACTTCCGGCCGGAGCCTTCGCCAGGTAGGAGGCAGTCAGGACTGGGGATCTGCTCCAGCCCATTCGAAAGGCTGCTGGCGGCCTTGTTCAGGCCTTGCTGGCCTAACTAATGTTATCTCCACAAACTTCTAACAGGCAATGTGCTTCTCCCGGAGTCACATGGTAGGGGCAGGCGGGGGGAACAGAGGCTGTGTCTTGGAAGTGATCTGCTGTTACTTGAGCTGTAACTTATCAGTCATGCTGGCCGGCCAACCCGACCCCAGAGTGGGAAAGGACTGCGCAGGGTGTGAAAACTGACAGGAGGTGGGGTCACTCGGGTCGTCTTGGAGGCCAGCTAATACACACATGGGTGTTCTTTTTTTTTGTGGTACTGGGGATCAAACTCGGGTCCTTTGATTTACCAAGCTTAACCACTGAGCTAAATCCCTGGCCCTGGGCATTCACAAGGTGTTTCACTTTATCCATTTTCAAGTATGTAATTCACCGACCATCCATCTAGAATGTTGTGCAACCCACCTGCTTCCAGAACGTCTTCATTACCTCGATAGGAAACTTGTATTCGTTAGTTATTCCTTGTTCCCTCCTCTTGCAGTCCTGGCAACAACTAGTCTTTCTGTCTGTATAGATTTCCCTATTCTGAGAATTCCTATAAATAGATTCTACAGTTTCTACAGATTCTACTTTACAAATACACAGTATTTTGACCTTCTGTGTCTGGCTTCTTTTGCTGAGCTTGATGTTGTCAAGCTTCAGCCTCGTATACCATGTGTCGTACTTTTTCCCTTTTAAATTTTGGTACAGAGGTTGAACTTGGAGTACTCTACCATCAGGCTATATCCCCACCCTTTAATTTTTTTTTCTTTTTATTGAGTTTATTGGTACATTCTAGGTATACAGTACAGTTACATTCATTACTGGGATCTTGTACCTTTACATGACAGGTCTTGATTCTCATTTTTTGCCCTTGTCCTTTTTTAAAAAAATTTTAAGACAGTGTCTCTTTAGGTTGCTCAGCCTGGCTTTGAGCTGGGATTATAGGCATATGCCACCATGCCTGGCTACTTTATCCTTTTTGTGGCTGAATAATATTGTATTATTTTTCTGTGTGGTGGAGTATTCTGTATGTTAGGCCTAGTTGGTTTTTAATGTTATTCATGTCCTCTGTTCCCTTGTTGGTTTTCTGTGTAGTTCTATCCTTTATTGTTAAGTGGATATTGAAGTCTCTGACTCGTCTGAATGAACTATTGCTTCCTTCAGTTTTGTCAGCTTTTGTGTCATCCGGAGCTCTGTTAGGTTTGTATGTTTATAACTGTTAGCTTTTCTGCATGGATTGGCTTTTACCAATGTATTCTCCCTTGTAACGATTTTAGACTTAAAGTCCATTTTGTTTTATATTAGTATAACCACTCCAGCTCTGCTTAGGTGAGGGTTTGCGTGGAAAATCTTAGTTCATCCTTTCAGTTTTAACCTGTGAATCTAAAGTGAGTCTCATGTAGATAAAATATAATTGAATCATATCTTTTATCTGTTTGCCAACTCTGCTTTTAGTTAGTTTTTAATCCATCTATATTTAATTACTGATACAGAAGGAGTTTTCTTCTGCCATTTTGATATTTATCTTCTATATTTCTTTACCTTTTTATTCCTCAGTTTTTTTCATTACTGCCTTTTTCTATTCAATCAATATTTTTGTAGTATACCATTTTCCACCTTTAGTGGCTTCCCTAGGGATTACAATTCATGTCTTAAATTTGTAACACTGTAATTTTAAACCAGCTTAGTTTCAATACTACATAGTTTCCCTTCCTATATGGACGGTCCCTCTCCCTTTATGTTGTCATTGTCACAAATTATATTTGTATACATTGTTCCTTACTATACATTTCTAATTACTCTTTTATCCATTTGTTTTTTGAACCCTATAGACAGTTATGAACCAAAAATACAGTAATGATGCCTTTTTATATTTATCTGTGTAGTTACTATTGCTGGTATTATTTCTTTATGTGGCTTTAAGGTACTGTTGTGTTTTTTTATTTCAGCTTGAAAAATACTTTTAATATCTTTGAAGTGCAGTTCTACTAATGCAAGTCTCCTTTATTGTTTCTCCTTCAGTGTTGAAGGATATTTTGTCCTGATGGCAAATTAATAAATTAATAAATTTTTATCTTGGCATTTTAACTGTGTCATCTACCTTACTGCCTTCTATTCTTCCTGGTTTCTCATGAGACATTGGCTATTGATCTTTTTGGGATCCTTTATGTATGACAAGTTGCTTCTCTCATGCTGCTTCCTTTGATTAAGTCTTGATATAGCTTTCTGAGCTTATTCTACTGGGAATTTGTTGAGCTTTTTGGATATGTAGATTCATGTTTTTCATCAAATTTGGGAATTTAATGGCCATCATTTCCTTAAATATTGGTTTTGCTTCTCTTTTCTAAGATTTCAGTTATGCATATATATCTGTGCTTCATAGTGTCCACAAGACTCCTAGGCTCTATTTATTATTTTTTATTTACTTTTTTCTTTCTTCCCCACAGACTAGATAAATCATTTGGCCTATCTTCACATTCACTATTTTTTTCTTTTGGCTGTTCAAATCTGCTATCAAATTCTCTCTAGCGACTTTCTCATTACAGTTATTTTACCTTTTCAGCTCCAGAATTTCTGTTTGTTTCCTTTTTATAATTTCAGTCTCTTCTTGATATTCTCTATTTGATGAACTACATTATTCTGGTTTTCCAGGCAGTTCTGTCCAACCTGTTACTTGCCTGTGTTATACTAAAAACAAAGGAATTTTTGTTATCTATATACATTAATGATTTTATGTATTTTATATGCAGCCCAAGAGCATTCTTCTTCATTCAGTGCAGCCAAGGCAAGTCAGCCATGTAGTTCTTTGCCCCTAGAAATTTCATCTAGGTGTGGCCTCGGTACAATGTGATTGTATATTCTAAATAATATTTTGAATTCATAAAATTTGGAGTAATGCAAAAATTAAGTATTTGCATATACTCATATAAACTTGTGATGATAGTTTTCAAAGATACTAAACAGTGGTAGATAACATATAGGAACATTAGACTTTCTTTTAGGCACGCACTTTCACAACTATGATAATGGACTCTGTCTACTATCTTCTCTGGGTAGCTTAGTTTTACTCTACTGTTTTAATATTCTCGTTGTTGTTTATTTAACTAAATAAATGTAATAGGGCATTTGTTTTAACAGATTACAAAGTATTCTCTTACTAGATTACAAAGTACTCTAAGAAAAATGAAGCTAAAGTAAATAATCCTAGTAGCATTCTGTCCAGATAGCACCTGTATGCCTTCTATGATGTGCTGTTCAATTTTTTAAAAAACTAAAGTACTTTTTGTTTGGCTGTTTCTTTATAGCTTCTCGTATGGAAAATTTGAAGTGCAGAGGAGAAACCATAGCTAAGGAGATTAGTGAAGCCATGAAGGTAAAATCGGTGTGCAAAAAAATTGTAAAATACACAAAATCTGTGTTTTGGTTTACTGTAATATAAATTCTTAGTCTTTTCAATACATTCATGATGCTATTTATCAGGCACCTATTATGTGCCAGGTATTATACCTGGCTTTAAAGATTGGTTATATTTTTGGGGTTCTGAGTGTTAGCACTCCATCAAATAATTTTGGATAATAATACTAGCCAACGTTTATTTATTGAGTGCTTGGTGTATGGGCAGCAGCTAACTGCTTTACATTTATTACCTCATTTAATCTTTATGCCTATAAAGTAGGTACTATTACCTATTTTACTATAAAATAGGTCCCTATTTTAGAGATGAAGAAACTGAGGCACCAAGAGGTGGAGTAGATTACCAGATAAGTAACTAAGTGCTGGGATTTGGAATCTATATCCTCACCCCTCTGTGCCAGGGGTGGAACCGAGGGCCTCAGAAATGCTAGACACATGCTTTGCATCTGAGCCGCACCCCAGACCTAGAATCTGTACTTTAACCACCATGTTACACTACTCCAACTGGAGAGTAAATATTTAATAAAAATGTTTACATTTGATATTTATTTTACCTAAACAGAAAAACATTTGGGTTTCTGGTATGTGAACATTATTCTTAAACTCCTTCAGCACCTCCCGTTCTGATGGTAATTTTTGAAAACACTCTGTGGTTTGGATTGATTCTGTTATTTTCTGGCAGTCATCTGTCTGTCAGAGCAGCATGTGATCAGATGTGGCCTCCTTTCATGGGCCAGGCTGAAATCCAGTCCACTCCTCTTTTCGTAAATACACTTGATTGGAACACAGTCACGCCCATTCCTTTGCCTGTCGTCTGTGGTTTCTTTTACATTGTACCAGCAGAGTTGAGTATTTACAGACACAAGACCTCCAGAGCCCAAAGTAATTACTGTCTGGTTCTTTTTAGGAAAAATGTGCTAATCCCTGCTGTTAAGATTTCTAAAGTACCTTTTTTTGGGTACTGGAGATCAAACTCTGGTCCTTGTGCTTTTAAAGTCTAAAGTACTCCTTATCCTAAAGTAAATAATTCCAGACTTAAATCCTTAGCTCTGAGATTCTATTATGCCTGGAAAATTTAATTTCATTGCCAGTATTGTGGGAATAGAATGTATCTTTTTAATCTTAGCTTTTTAGGTAGAATTCCCCAGCTTAAACTGCTATTTTGAAGATTTAAGTGAAACATTCCTGACCTCAAAAACTAGATCTCAGAAAAATGCTTGACCTAAAGAATTTAAAATGTAATATTGTGTCCACCTCTGTTTTAACCTGAGCCTAACATTTTTTTTTTTTTCAGACTTTGCCTGTGTTGATTGAACAAGCTGATGGATTTTCCCAAGTTTTAAAGATGCAGCCTGTTATCCAGCTCCAGAGGATCCATCAGGACGTCTTTTCCAGTTGTGGTGGGAAACTAGATGCTCAGCCTGAGAGCTCGGTGACACAGATGGAAACCACACCCACGGAGTCTGCTACTAGGCAGGCCTCCAACCTGGTGCTGAGGAGAAGGCGGACTGCAGACTGCCCCCAGAGAAAGTTGTACCCACTGCGGCCCAAGAGGATTAACCTGGACACAGAAGCCTCTTCGCCCATTCCGGGAGCTGAAAACAGGCTCTGTCAACATTGAGATTCCAGCCAAATGCCTAGACAGGGCTTCATTTAAAACAGTCAAATAACTGATAAAAATAGTGACTCTCTGCTGGGATATTATGTAGTATATTTTTTCCTTCATTATTTGATCTGTAGTAGATGAGTAGTATTTTTTTAATTAAAAATTTTTAAAATAGTGGCTCAAAGCCATCAGTGGACACTGCAAGTTTTTACTGTCCTTAAATGCCATCAACTCTTGGCTGCCTTGCAGCTTTTGTAAAATTCCATGAGAATCATATTCTGCGGAGTTTCCCTGGTAGATATCTTTCTTTCTTTCTTTAAAAAGGGGAGGGCTGCCTAATAGTTATTTAGTTCTGGAAACTAATCATCTGTTCTACACAACAGCAGGTTCATTGTTTTTAGGTGCAGCTACTTTGTTTGTTTGTGGTGCTGAGCTTTGAACCCAGGGTCTTGGGCCTGCCAAGCATGACCTCTGCCACTGACTTCCTGGGCCCCAGCCCTGGGTGCAGTTTTATCACATTGATATGTAGGTGCCGAGGTGGGCTTTGACATCGTTATTCTAAATTCAGCAAATTTGCATTTGTGCTATTAATTTTAATGTTGGCATTTTTTTTTCCTAAGACAGCTATTATTTGTACAAGGTTTAAGAATTACTCTTAAACATAGGTGTGTTGCCAGTGTTTCTTGCCCACACTTTTTTCATGGACCTTTTACCACAAATGAACATGGAGCTAGTAATTTCTTTTTAGGTTCTTCATTTATTTCTAGATCCTTCCATTTGAAATTATTTATCAGAATAAGACACAGCAGATTGTCATTGTGCAACAAATGCAATCATACTGAACTATTTTGCATTTTAGGATGTTTATATGTCAAGTGTATAATCATTGGTAGAAGCCTGAAGAAGCTGTATTACACACACTCTGGACTTTTAACTGCAGTCTCTGATAGTGTCTCTTATACTGAATGCAGGCAATACTCCTGATTCACCAGCTGTTTCCTCTCTTGTTGCCTGTAATAACTGCATCCGTTTTCAGAGGAATTAGCTAATCAAGGCTTAGAAAAGGTGTTCTTCTTTGGCTCATTGTGTCTTATAAATCATGTTTCTGCATTTGTCTACTCAGTCTCACTGAAGAAAACTTACCATGCCACTTTATTACATTCGGGCATTTTATGTTTGAATGTTACATTTCAGATTTGTATATTTGTACATTGCGCTGTCCCTTTTTTGTATTAAAATAATGTACAGAGAATAAGATCTTGGTACTGTGTATTTTTAAGTGTTGTCTTGGGCATTCTTTTTTTTTTCCAGTACCAGGGATCAAACTCAGGACCTTGCACTGCAAGGCAGGTAGGTGTGGTGCCACTGAGCTAAATCCCCGGCTCCCTGTCCTGGGCATTCTTGAGCTCAGCATTTGATGGCCAGTAGGCCAGTCCTTCCATCTCAGAGCATATTGAACTGCATGGCAGAGATGTGTTTTGAGTCTGCAGGGTACCTGCAGTGCCGTCTTGTTCATAGTATTAAAACTGTATATGTTTGTTTTACTTCAGAGTTTCCAAGCAGAGCAAATCAGTTAATTTTGCTACATTATGTAAGAGAAGTGCTTTTTAATTATATAACCCCTTAAGGAATGCATATTGAAACACACCGAATCAGTTAAAAAACAAAAAGCAGCCAGGCATAGTGGCACATGACTCTATCCCAGCATCCAGAGGCTGAGGCAGGAGGATGGCAAGCTTAAGCCTAGCCTGGGCAACTTTATGACTTAGTGAGATGCTGTCTCAAAATAGAAACTAAAAAGGGCTGGGACCATTTATTAGAGAAGCTGTCTTCCAGTGAATGTGTTTGGCCCCTTTGTCAAAGATGAGGTGTCTGAGTGTTTGGGGTTGTTTCTGTACCTTCCAATCCATTCCATTGACCCTCAGGTGTTTTTGCCAGTACCATGCTGTTTTAATCACAGTAGCTCTGTAGTATAATTTCAAGTCAGGGATTGTGATACCCACTGCCTTGTCTTTGTTGTCCCAAAATTGTTTGTATTCTAGGTCTCTTCTAGTTCCAAGTGAATTTTAGGAATATTTTCTCTAGTTTTGTGAGATAGGCTACGGTATTTTGATCGGGGTTGTATAAACTGGCTTTCCATATGCCAAAGGCTAAAATTAGACCTATGTCACCATGCACTAAACTAAAATCAATATAGATCAAAGATCTACATATGAAAATAAACACTGCTGGAAGAGAATAGATGGAACTCTTGAAGACTTAGGTGTAAGCAAAGACTTCATGAACAAAACCTTGATCTCACAGGAAATACTGCAAAGGATCAACAACTGGGACCTCATCTTATTAAAAAGCTTTTGAACAGCAAAAGAAATCACCAACAGAGTGAAAAGACAACCTGAAGAGTGGGAAAAAATTTTAGCCAGTTGTTCCTCAGACAAAGGATTAACACCTAGAATATATAAAGAATTGAAAAAAAAAGACGGCCCCCCCCAAACGTAAAGACCCAATCCAGAGATGGGCATCTTGAGATGACACTTGTCAGATGAAGAAGTACAAATGGCAGAAAAATATGAAAAAAAACCCAGTCATTCGAGATGCAAATTAAAGCAACTCAGATTCCACCACTCTAGAAAGAATGGCTGCTACCAAGAAATTAACCAATAACAAATGCTGGTGGGGCTGTGGGGGAAAAGGAACATTTCTCCACTGGTGGGAGTACAGACTGGTTCAACCACTGGAAATAGGTATGGAAATTCCTTGAAAAACTAGGATTAGAGCCCCATTTGACCCAGCTATTCACCTTCTGGGTATCTTCTTGAAAGAAAAGCTTGATACCACAGAGATGTATGCACATCCACGTTTATAGCACACAGTTTGTAATAGCTAAATCTTGGAAACAACCTAATGCCCATCAACTGATGAATAAAAATTTTTTTTTTGGTACCGGGGATTGAACTCAGGTCCTTGCACTTGCAAGGCACCCCACCAAACCGATGAGCTAAATCCCCAGCCCTGATGAATAAAATTTTAAAGATGTGCTTTTTTATACAGTAGGTACTACTCTGACATAAAGAAGGATAAACTGGAGACATTTCTAGGTAAGTGGATACCCCTCGAGACCATACTCTTAAGTGAAATAAATAGGACACAAATGTTATTATGCATTGTTTCTCTGGTGGGAGAAACTGAAAGTGTAAATAAGGACCAAAATATATATATTAGACATTGTGAAATAGGAAGAAATTATTCAAAAGGAAAGGGGAACTAGGGAGGGGAAAGGGGGAAAGGAAAGAAGGGAAAAGAAAAAATAAAATGAAAACGAAGCTTCGTAAATGAGGGGAAGAAGGCTTGAAGGAGGGGAGGGGAATGGGAAAAGAAGAATCAAGATACATCATGTACAGGTACAAATTCCCTATGATGAATGTGACCATTATGTATATTAAAATGTACTAATAAAATTAATTTTAAAAAATCAAAAAGGGCTGAGGAGATAGCTCAGTGTGAAGGCCCTGGGTTCAATCCTCAGGGACACGGGGTCAGGGGCTAGATTAAGCAAATGTGGCAAAAATCTTTATAATACTAAATCTTTGTGATGGATACTTTTGTGTCTGGAAATTTTTGTGATTTTTTTTCAAAATATGTCATATAGCCAGACAGATGAGGCTTGAAATCTTGAGAGCCCAAAGGTTCACTCCATAGTTAAGTAGAGTTTAAAATAAAAATATCATTGGAGCAGACAACATGTAAGCATTATTAATTGAGAAAGACATGACTATCAATAATATTGAAAAATCATGTGTTGTAGAAGGAGAAATTATATTTCTGCGTAGACCAAGGACAAGCAAGCAACGATGAAAAATAGTTTCAGGGAATGTTGGAAAGGTAGAAGGAAAAGACTGAACAGGGAAATCTTGATCTCTCTGTTGTAAAAAGAAGGCTGGATTGGATGGAGGCTTTGAATCTCTTTCTGGGGTGAAGGTTTATCCTCGTGATACAGTGCATGCACTAGGCCCTGGATTTGGTCCCGGTACCACACCAAAATCTCAGCAACAAATAAACAGAGTACTTGAAGATTCAGTCTCTGGAGGGAGAGAGGGCGCTGTCCGCGGGGGTGGCAGAAATGCTGCTGCATCCATGGTGGTCGTGCTCACTTGCCAGTGAACAGTGCACTTGAAAAGCGTGAATGGGCTGATATAAAGTGTATCTCCAAAGAGATGCAAAGTAGAAACGGCCCAGAGACATCCCCAGAGCTGAAGGTGACTGGGTGCCAGGGGTTGGACGTAGGCTGTCGGGGGACTGTGCTCAGGAGGGGGTGAGGCTGTGACGGGTAAGTATTTTGGGGTCACCTTGGTGAAGGGGTCGGCACAGCTCCTTCAAGCCTGGATTGTGAGGAGGAGTCTGCCCTCCACCTCCTCTTGTTGCTGCCTGCTCTTCTTCCTGTCAGGACTGATACACACCCTCACCCAAAGCCAAGCCGGTGCCACGCACTTGGCCTCCCGGATGGGAGCTAAAACAGTGTCTTTCCTTTATCATTCACACAGTCAAGGCTGATTTTGTTGTAGGAATGGAGCACAGACTAAAACATCGAATCTCCATACGGAAACAGCCCACCAAGCATTCAGAGAGTGGAATGAAAAGAGACAAAGCATAGAAATACCAATCGCCCCACCAAGGCACATAATTGAGAAATGACAGAACACAGGGGATTAAAAAAAGATCCCTAAAGTTTCCAGGGGAAGAAAGAGATCATAAATACCAAGTGAGCGCAAGGACCCAAGTTCGATCCCTGGTACCCGCCCCCCCATAAATAAATAAATAAATACCAAGTGAACTGGAGTCAAATTACAAAACAGCCCTACAATTGAAGACCGGGAGCCATGCGATCTGGAAACTTGGAAACTGGGCACAAGTGATCGGCAAACTGCCATTCTATCCTCAGCCAACCTGGTGCCAGATGTGGTCCTCAAGGGTTCCAAAAGCCATTCTCAGATATGCAAGTTCTGAACGAAAATGGAAGTCTTCCCTGAGCTTCGGGTTGGGAGACACTGTCGGGGGGGGCACCACAAAGGGTGAGGGAGAAGGCAGCCATGGGGCGTGGGGGGCCAGTCCCCGAAGGCACGCAGGGCCTAATATTCAGCTGCCCTGGAGAGCAGCTCCCAGCAGGCCAGGCCAAAAGAAGACTCCGGGACTCCAGGGAGATTTTCAGGAGGAGAAAACACAACCAACAACATGAGTGCTTGTTTTAACCACTTGGAAAATGGTGATGTATTTTATGGCATTACTCAGAAGCTCAAGGAAACAACAAAAATCAGGCAGTTGGCCCCGATCCACCATGGGAAGGAGAGCCACGCCTTCTCCCGCCCCAGCTGCCATCGCTTGAGCGCTGGGAAGGTAGCCGAACCCCCTAACACAACCCATAAACAGATTCAAACAGATATCCAGGAGATTAAACACTCCATAGGAAGTGTATGCAACAGAATAAAAGAATGCGAAGATAGACTCTCAGATATAGAAGATAAATTGCAGTGACCATGAAAAGAGAAATCTCTTAAAAACAGTAAGGGATCATGAGAAATCGATCCAACAACTCCTAGATGATGCAAAGAAGAATAACATAAGACTGATAGGAATACATGAAGTAGCAGGAGAAAATACAAAAGGACTTTAAAAAGCTGTTCGCAGAATTAATGACAGAAAACTTCCCAAACAGAGGGGAAGAATCTGACATATAGATAACTGAGGCATATAGGACCCCAACTAGCTACAATAAAAAAAATCTACACCTAGACATATAATAATCAAGATCCCAGAAACCCAAAAGAAGAACAAAATACTACAAGCAGTAAGAGAAAAGAAACAAATCACATACAAAGGAAAGCCCATCAGAATCACAGCAGACTTTTCAACACAAACGCTTGGGGCAAGGAGAGCCTGGAATGAGATATTTCAAGTACTAAAAGAGAACAACCTCCAACCTAGAATGATGTATCCAGTAAAACTCTCTTTCAAAATGGATGGGGAAATAAGACACTTCCACGACAAAGAACACCTGAGAAACTACATGAATACCAAACCAGCACTAAAAGCAATTCTAAACAAGATCCTAGGAAAAGACAATGAAGGCAACAACACCATGAAGCCCAACAGAGCAAATCAAATAGGCAAGGCAAGAAATTAAAAGGAGAAGGTGAAAAAGTAAAACGAGTCAACAAAAGGCCAATAACATGTCAATAATAAGTCAGTA